TAGAAAAAGATGTGTAGACCATTATGATCAAACATTGAAACGAAATGTATGGCCAGCTTTAATCTTGGGCAGTAATCTTAGTCCGTACTAGACCTAGACATTAAAAAATGAGAAATTGCAGATGTACACACACTTATTATTAGTCTAGTGAAGATAGCTATCAATAATTTCGACATTTTGGTGTACATGCATGTTTTACCGATTCCAAGACAAATTGTTAATAAACTTTTTATTAGTTTTAAAATCATAAAACGCCTTTTTCGTGATTTTCAAAAAGTGATTGTTTAACAGCCATGTCTATGCATAATATATACATATGTAATAAAAACAATAATTGCAATATGTTGTGGCGATAACAATTTTCTCTAGCTTTGTTTGTTTTAAGAACAAGGTTGAACACATTTACAACTGAGAGAAAATACTTATTTGCCATTAATATTTAAGAAGGCAAAATAAATTAATGCGTGGACATATTTAACAAAAGCAGGTGTAGTTTGTTGATACGTTTAGGTATTGGGATAAATAGGGAAGATTCATAGAGTCTAGATGTGCCATGTTGAAACTAATGCCTGGAGGGTAAACTACAGACGTAATTTAAAATTCCATCGGCAAAAATATACAAGTCAGTGGCAGCTACAATTGAAAATTAGTATCATATTTACAGGGTGTCCCAAATCAGAATACCGATATAAAGTTTATTTTATAAATTGGTAGAATTTGGTACCAATATGATGTAAATTTAATTCACTTTAAATGTTTCTATAAGGTTTCCTATAATACCCATATCTACTATTTTTAGACTTATTATCAATTCGTTTCAATGCATCATTAAAGTTCAAACATTTACTAATAATTTTATTTTATAACATATTATTATGTATTCCATAATTTGTCAATAAATTTATAAATGGTGTCAATGCACATTTTGAATCGGTTTTCAGTTTTATACATTACTTAAAATCTCTAAATAAATAACACCAAGCATACCCAATGATGAATCTAGGTTGAGTGATGGTCGGGTATCAGGCCCAAAAAGTCCCATGGAGAGAGGTGGTGGTACAGTATGTATAAGGTATATTTTTATAGAACAATAATCTCAGAGAAACATACGTATATCATATTAAATTTGTTTTATGCATTTGCTCTCTGCGAAAAAGATCGATCAGATAATCAAGACTTTAAAAGCTCAAGCCTTAAGCTCTTTCGTTTTCAAAGCTCAAATGAGTACCTACTCCTTGAATAATTTTTAATAATGTTAAATTCGAAATATCAATATATTTTCCCATTGCTGATGTTGCTGACTACAAATAAGTTAAAGAAGTTATAATAGGAACATGCACATAAGACAGAGACAGCTGTCGCTTATTGAGCATAAATCTGTCTCTGGTGTATATATCGCATCAATGCTCGTTTAAGTAACCTCTCTGTTATGTGCACGTTACTATCTTCTAAGCAGAGAAGTCCACATAACCAAACTTAAACGGAATCATCTATTATTTTTCATAATTTTTAAGATGTGGTGAACATTTTTTCTTTATTAATATAACTCAGTCCCTTACCAAAGACGTTTATTGATAAATAACCTAGATAGCAATAAAAAAGTTAATTAGTTGAGAAAATAACAACAACGGTTTTTTTTTGGTTTCTGAAACGAAATGAGATTTAAATTTTTATTGGCCCAAAAGCAAAAACAAAAAGCAAATTGGTACTTTTAATAATCCGTGTTGCCACCTCTAGCCCTTATGCAAGCTTCTTTCGCCTTGGCATACTTCTTATTAAACATTATTTCGGGGTATGTACTCCCATTCTGCTAATGCTGCATCAATAAGCTGTGTGACATTTCCTGCATTGTTTCAACGAGCTCTAACCCTTCTGAGCTGGTCTCACAAGTGGTTGGATAGGATTTAAGTGTGGTGAAAATGCAGGTCAGTCTAAAATTATCACTAGCCACTCTACTGGTAATAAAGAGAGGCATTATCGCGCATAATGATAAAATTATCTCCAATTGCAGCTCTACAAAGCCTATCGATTGGTTCTAGCACTAAATAAACATACCTCTGACCAGTTAATTTTTATTGAAGTGGTAACAATGGAGTTTTTGTACCCAGTATAATGCTTCCCCAGAACATTAAAGTTTCTCCTTGATATCTTAGGACAGCCTGGAGTCTCGCTCGTCTTCCTGGAGCTCTAAAAACCCAATTATTTCATCTTAGGCCAATTCTGGTATCATCCAAAAAAAGGAACATTTTGCCAATTTTTAATTGTCCAATGTTTGGTATTGAAGACACCAATTTAGCAGATCAATTTTTATTTTTGCCTAAATAACTGTGGGACTCGTAAATTTCCCCTACTGTATAACCCTCAAGCGCAAAGTCTTTTTCTTATGATTTCAACTAAAACGTTCACTAGGGTGGAGCCAAAATCGCAAAATTTTAAAAATTTTAAAAAATCGATTTGGAATACTACCAAAAGTTACCTTTCATAATGTTGACAAAAATGTATTGATACAACTTTTTGATCAAAATCATATCTTTTGCCCTCTAATCAGTAATTGAAAAATTACAAAAAAAAAGGACTAAAAAAAAAATTTGCTGAAATTATTACTAAAATTTAAAGACATGTGATTTTAAGGAATTTCAAACCGAGAACACTCGTCTGTTTTGATATTAGCGCTTGCAAATGCGACATTTTTGAACAATGTTCTTGCGATAAGGAAAAAAAGATACCTAAAAATGAATGGGATTTTTTACTAGATCAGAGGGTGTCTAGAAAAATGATTATTGGAAACATTGATGTAAAGGAAACCTCAAAGCTGATAAATAAGGGCAGCAGAATGGACAAATTTATGCAAAGGAAAGAACTAGAACAATCCGTCCAACATCAATGGACATAAGGGCAGCAGAATGGACTAATTTATGCAAAGGAAAGAACTAGAACAATCCGTCCAACATCAATTTATCAAGAAAGCGAAAGCCAGAAACTGATATCAAGATAGATCATGAATTGCCTTCCACTTCCTATGACAGTATCAATACAGATATGCAGTGTACACAAAATTACGTCAAACTTCCCACCTTGCCAATACAATAAAATATAGTTTAAAAAACTAAAAAACACGCTTTTAGAGCATATCAAACTAAAAAGTTAAAAATATTTTTTTTAACACGCTTTTATTCAAATAAGCTTAAAACAATAATAAATGGAAAATACTAGTATTATTGTGAAAAAAGCGTCGGGCGCTCGATGTACGAGAAATATGGACAAAGCGCCCCACGCTTTTTTCACAATAATACTAGTATTTTCCATTTATTATTGTTTTAAGCTTATTTGAATAGAAGCAGAATTTAGTTTGCTTGTTTTTTAGTTTTTTAAACTATATTTATTTTTTACTTTTTAGTTCGATTAATTATTAAAAAAAAAATTTGTAAGTTGAAATAGCTGAAAAAAAAATTTTTTTTTTCAGCCGTGGGGATTAGAACCCACGATCGGTGAGTCTGGCAATCTAAAACCCGCACCTTAGACCACTCGGCCAACAAAGGAACTTGACTCAGTGGGATGTACTGACAGTAATAAGCCACTTGAGTCCAAAGGAGAGTTACAAACATACATACATACAGGTGAAACTAATATAAGCGTGTTAAAAAACGTAATAGACAGAAGAAAGCTGAGAAGAGCAAGAGAGCAATCAAAAAAAAGTTTTACGCAAAACTCCTCAGAAACTTTGAAAGCCATATACTTTGACGGAAGGAAAGATAAAACCTTCGTAATTGAAAATATTGAAGGCAAGTACCACAGAAAAACCATACTCAAAGAACCCATTTCATTAGCTCAAGAGCCGGGCTCTATATTTTTAGGTCACATAGTACCCCTTTCTGGATCGGCTCTAAGCATTCGTCAAAGTATTGTCAACTTCTTAGAAAGTAATGGATATAATCTAGAAGAACTAGTGGCAGTAGGATGTGACGGAACCGTGGTGAATACGGGAAAAAAAATGGTGCAATTTCTCAACTAGAATTAAAATTAGGACGCCCTTTACAAAGATTTGTCTGCCAGCTTCACGCTAATGAATTACCTTTAAGGCATCTTTTTCAGAAGCTGGACGGTCAAATTATGGGTCCAAGAGCTTTTGCAGGAATTATAGGAAAGCAAATAGTGCAGTGCGAAAATATGCCAGTTGTAAACTATAACATTATTGACTGTGAGTTACCAGAAGTAGATTTCCTTGACTTAAGTGCAGATCAAAAATATCTGTTTGAAATGTGTGTTGCAGTTTCTACAGGGAAGTGCTCCGTGGATTTATTGAACCGAAGCCCAGGAAAGTTAAGTCATTCTCGATGGCTCACTTTGGCCAATCGCATATTACGTCTTTATGTAAGCACCATAAACCCAACCTCAGAATTAAAGGAACTGACCAAATTTATTGTCAAGGTTTATAGTCCTTTGTGGTTTCAAATTAAATGCAACTCATCATGTGTAAATGGTGCAAAGCATGTTTTACAAACGATAAAACGTAGTCGGTACCTAGAGCAAGATTTAAAAAGTGTTATAGACCCTGTAATTCAAAGAAATGTCTATTTTGTTCATCCGGAAAATCTTCTGATATGTATGCTGCATGACACTCGCCCTCATATAAGAGAACTTGCACTTCGTCGCATTCTGAATGCAAAAACTAAGGGCAATAATAGTTCAACCAATGTCAGACCTTTTATTATTCCACAAATTAATTTTGACGCAGATGACTATGTTGATCTGATTGATTGGCAAAGAAATAAAATAACTTGTCCCCCATTGCTTCGAACTTTAGAAGTGGATGAATTGAAAAATATTATTTCCGGTTCTCCTAAAAAAATCATCGACATCGCTGCATTTCCCTGTCACACCCAATCAGTAGAGAGATATGTGAAACTTGTTGGGTCACAAAAAAGAGACAGTTTTATTAAAGCAAAAATAGATTCGCGCAAACTTATGCTAAAATTTGACTCAAAAAAAGACTATAAACAATAAATAATCGAAATGGATGAGGGAGGGTGGGATGGAACTCGTCGAGCAGTTGCCTCCCCGTGGTGAGTTCTGGGTTGTTTAAACAATACTGAATATATGTTTTGTATATAAATCGAATATTGTTTAAACAAGCGAAGAACTGCTCTATTTGCCGTAGCGTTAACTCTCAGTATCAATATTAATAAAAAAAAAAAGAAAAATAAATAAATAAGGCAAAAGATCTAAGTTTCGAAAATCGTTTTGGAATAGTGCGCAAAAGTTGCCAATTCGTATTACAAAACTAATGTTTATTTTCGGTTTTTCAAAATTTTTTCATCTTCTGCCCTCTACCGGGCTTGGAATATTTTATTTTTTCAAAACCCGGCAGAGGGCAGAAGATGAAAAAATTTTGAAAACCCAAAAATAAATATTAGTTTTGTAATACCAATTGGCAACTTTTGCGCACTATTCCAAAACGATTTTCGAAACTTTTATTTTTCGCTCCACCCTAACGTTCACACCTGTAGCTTCAAGAAGTTGTCGTTGCAGCTCTGGATGAGAAACACTATGATTTCTTCTAGCAATTTGACACACAAAGCGGTCCTGTTGTTCAGTTGTGACTCTTTGACGACTTTGTCTGGGCCTATTCTTGATAGTTTCTAGTTCCAAATAACTTGCATATTATGATTTCGATACAACACCCTGGGTAACGCCTACTACCCATAGAAATAGTATAGAAAGCCGATTCCATATATCAAAAATAAAACCATAAGGAGAAAATAGTGTGTCGGAGCTCATGCGTATAACGGTGCTGGCGCGAACAGGACCGGTGCAAGTTTTTTATTGATCGAACATATTTGTTCACACGATATTTCAATCATACATTTTTAGAGATGATTCTATACAAAAAACGATTAAAAAAATTTCAAGTTAAGGTAAATATGGTTCTGACAGTCCTTATTAAGAAAGATATGGCATAAAATATGAATTAGTTAATTTTCGGCAATCATTAGTACAGTAGTCATGAGATTTTGCTTGTGATTTTAAAAATACTTTCCAGAAAAACCACGTGCTCCGGTTTTGACTACGTTTATTATTAAACAGCGAAATTATATACAAAACCTTTTCTACAATCTAAATTAGGTACTATCACAAGAAAATCACTGTTACAATAATTAATTACTTAACCAAAAATTAAAATACTTTTTAGGTACCTACGTAACCAGAAAAGAGCTGGACCATTTATCCTAATATTGATTTTCTCTCTCCCTATGGTAAAACTTAAAACAATAACAAATTGCCTATCTACTAGGGTCGGTAACTAAACGTATATACATAATGGGCGGATAAATATTTACAAAGATACTTTTCCAAACAGGCAATCATTAGTACTGTAGTCACGAGATTTTGCTTGTGATTTGACATCTTATTTGATAATATCATTTGCTACAACTAAATTTAATCTGGGGAGTGCAAAATAGGGCCCAGGAATATTATGTTCAATATTTTTTTACATTTTGTCAGCCGAGACTATGAGTCGTTAGACAGAAAACCTTTCATGTTACCATTTTCAATATAAATTAAAAAATTAAAAAATACTACTACATTTACTTGGTACATATTTTATTTTAATTTTGAACCCTTTTAAAAGGGTCTTTCGGTTCCATAATAAAAATTAGTTGCTGCTTACTAGAAACATTCTATATAGCCTAAACCAATTTATAGTTTGTCTTCGATCAATTTAATACAAAGATTTAAAGTTTTTAGTCGATGATAACATTCCACACCAGCACATTGCAAACCTATTTTATAAATAATAGGAATAAACTTGTAAATCATTAATTTGGTAGTTATCTCACTCATATGATTTTTTTGTTTATATGACTATTTCGATTTCTAAATATATTTTGGCCTTACAATACGAAGCGTTTTGTATCTACCACTTTTTTAATGAACGATGAATGTTGACAGGCGTGTACCTTTTTCGGAACAAGAGGCGTTTTAACGAAGGAAATGATTTTCGAACCATCTAGTTAGTTTTCGGAAAAATAGAAAACGTTTGAAGAAAGTTGTCAATAACAGTTTGTCGTTCATGTGTTTCATTTTGATCAGCTTTCATACTAAATTGCGTAGAATATTTTTCCGATTCAAAATCGAGATTCTCGATATTTCCACAGTTTATTTATAATACCTTCTAAACTGGATTTATCTATCATTTTATATACTTTATAATATATGTTCATGCCCTACTTTTCACTTTATTAACAATTTTTTTTTTCATACTTCAAAATGGTAGGATATTCTCAATTCGTTGAAATAATTTTTTATGTATGTTGAGCGATAATTCTTTACCACGTTGCCCGATTTCTAGGATTCTTTTTGTTAGAAAAGCAAACAGTTTTATATACATTAAGTCAAGATCTGAAGATGGGATCCATAAGAAAATCATTAACATCTTTATTTTTAAAGTAGGTTTTTTTTTAAATTTCTTTAAACCTTACTG